TGACATGACTACCCTGGCATAACGTTGTCATCGTCAGATGAATACGTTTCTTTCAAGGGATTTGCCGCTTTATTAGCATTCTTAAGAGTTACGTGTTTAGAACTACACTTTTGGGAGCGCAGAATCTCAACAGGCTCTTGGTTTTGGATAAACACCCCCAGGCGGGTAGAAATTGGGGTTTTCCCTTTATGAGAAGGCTTGAAATTGTTACGAGGGCGTGTGCGACCCCCAGCTCGACGAATCGCTCGGGGTTCAGTCACCGGACCCAAGCATTCTTCGATCAGAACTTTGCCTCGATCCTCGTGCAAAGGACCCAGGCGATCGACTATCCTCACCTTAAAATGGGACAAGTCCACACTGTCCCGGTGCTCCGTCGGAGGTGCGGAACTCACAGGGATCGACGAAATAGGTGCAGAACATCTTCTGCCTTGACTCTGGCGCGGGTCAGATTTAAGTGACCGACGGGTTGGAGGGTCGGATTCAAGTGACCCGCAAAGTGGAGGGTCGGATTTGGGTGACCCGCAAAGTGGAGGGTCGGACCCAAGTGACCCACGATTTGGAGGGTCGGATTTGGACGACCTGCAGATTGGCGGGTCGGATTTTGGTGACCTGCAGATTTGGAAGGTCGGATCCAAGTGACCTGCGATTTGGAAGGTCGGATCCAAGTGACCTGCAAATTGGCGGGTCGGATTAGAGTGACCTGTAAATTGGCGGGTCGGATTGGAGTGACCTGCGTTTTAGCGGGTCGGATTGGAGCGACCTGCGTTTTGGCGGGTCGGATTGGAGTGACCTGCAAATCGGCGGGTCGGATTGGAGTGACCTACAAATTGGCAGGTCGGATTGAAGTGACCCGCGTGCCGGCGAGTCGGATTCAAGTGACCAGTTTTAGCGGGTCGGATTGGAGCGACCTGCGTTTTGGCGGGTCGGATTGGAGTGGCCTGCAAATCGGCGGGTCGGATTGGAGTGACCTACAAATTGGCAGGTCGGATTGAAGTGACCCGCGTGCCGGCGAGTCGGATTCAAGTGACCCCCGCCGTCTTGGACTTTGGCCTCCAAACTTTGTGCAGTTTTGGTGGCTTCTTTTCCACTTCTTCCCTCTGTCATCTTTTGACCTCTTGCGCAAGAATTCGCGCGCGCAAGCAGTACGCGACGCTTTTTGATCCGCTCTTCAAGAGTTGAACGGGTCCTTTTGACTTGTACCCATTCACTTGTTGGTGATTTGGAGGAGAGGGCATTTGTCCGCTGTTGGGGCGCTTGACGTTGACTAATTTTCAGATCCGTCTCGTAACGGATCCCGTCAATTGACTCCAAAGCCCTAACGAATTGGCGCGCAAGGTGTTGGTGCTGCCTTTGGCGAACTCTCTTCAATAAAGTGGGTACGCCTTCTGTACTCAACTCCTTGATTGAGGAGGAGTTCAGATCTGCAGATCCGGACTCATTGGAGGCCGGAAGGGCGTTGTAAGGTTCAGCTACCGCAACAAC